CCTTGATTCATTTATGCTCATAATTTATGGCATTCAAACAAATTATTTTGTAACTTAAAAATGAAATTGAATGTTGAAAAATTTGGAGGGAGAATAAAATTTAATGCATGGTAATAAAATTAAATGATGTGATGCTCCAAATTATATATTTATAGATAATTATTCATTCTTTAGACTGTTCTTTCAATTAACAAAAATAACCAAAAAAAAAAAAAAAATATAACAGATTTTCTATAATAAAAGTATGAAAAAAATTATAAGAAAATTATATACACTTTATTAAAAACAAGTGGACAATATATGTAGCGAGACCTGATCGCGATTGGCTGACGCCCAAAATCATCGCAAGACCATAGAAAATGGCGGAAGAAGGAAAATCGCCGTCGTCGCCGGCAGCCGCCGATGCGCAGCTCTTTGGGCTGCTATCCACTCTCCTGCAACAGGTACTCAACGGAGAACTTTGTGTTCGTGCTTGTAATTTCTGAGCCCCAAAATTACAAGGATGAACAATGAATGCAATTTTTATGATCTGCTATCGGACTTCAAATTCAATTGGTTTTTGTATCTTTTGGGTTATTTGTATATCTGGGATCTGTATGAAAGCTAGTAATTTCTTGAATCGTTTTGTTTATCACCGAAAAAGTGTCAGAAGCTGAGATTTTTATTAGGTATGGATTATTTGCAATAGTATTGGCTTTTGTTTTTTCATATTATCTTGGTTTTATACGAATTTGATGTAGCTTATAGCGGTTCTTTTGTTTGTGATTCTTTAGAGCTAACATAGAAATGGATGCTTTCTGATTCTATGCAGAATTAACCATAAGAGGTGACTATTGTGCAATCCCATTGTTTGATTAGTTTCTTCTGTAGTGCCAATTTGTGTAAAGGGCTCGAGAAATATAACATATCGGGGTTGATTATGCATATTATCTCGGTTTTCTGTATCCGTCAGAATTTGATGTAGTTTGTAGCATCTTTTTATTTTTGAAGCTTTAGAGCTAACAAGAAATGATGCTTCTGATGTTACTGCAGAATTAACCAAACGAAGATTATAGTTTTGTTTTCTTTCAAAACTTTAGGAAATAGTATTGATGCTTGTGTAATCCCATCGTGTCATTAGTGTCTGATTTTGTGCCAATTTATGGAAAGGGCTCGAGAAATATAACATATCAAGTGTTGATTATTTGATGGGATGGTGAAGTATCTTATACGCGATAATTCGGGCAATTTCATGCTCTGATCCCTTCATTCCCCGTGTATGGTTTGATGATTTTCCAGGTGGAGTCATTGACCAATCAAGAAGAAGTCGAGTTGCGTGCCAAGATCGAGGCCCTTGGTTTGGAGGTCCGAAAACTCCCTCCTAAATCTGCTCAACATCTTAATCAGGTACATTCGAGTTAACGCTGGTGATACATGGTTATGGATTGCAAATTGCTCGTAAAAATGAAATCTGCGAAAGAAACAACCACCAAATGATGCAAGATATAGGGTTCGTACCTTGTTGAATGGCCATTATAAAGGAGGATGAATACTACTTGAGCAACATACTCGATTTTATTTCATTGAGATTCTTGTAATGGTTTACGCTATGTTTGGTAACCCTAGTTGATAAGCTAGCTTATAGCTTTTAAGTGAATTTTGAGTTTATAGCTGATAACTTATGACTTATGGTTGGTAAACTAAAGTGTTTGGTAAAATTAGCTGAAATAAAAATTTCGATGAGCTTATTTGTGAAAAACTACCCAAGAAAACTTATGAGATAAGCTCAAGCTTTTTAAAAAAATGCTCGTCTTACCAAACCAAGCTTATTTGAATACATGATGCTTATAAGCTTATCAAATAAGCTATAAGCTAACTTATATGCTTAACAAACAGAGTCTTATTTTCATTTGTGGCTGAATTAGATGGAGATAGAAAAGGAGCTGGACAAATTATCTGCAAAGCTTGATAACGTGGATGAGATGATATCCTCAGCCATGGCCACAGATCCACAAGTAAGGGCTCTACTGAGCACAACTGCCGATGTGTGGATGCCCGTTATAACTGCAACTTCTGATGAAAGGCGTAATTTTAAATCTGTCTCTGGAGAAGATGACCTTCAAGACAAAGGAAAAGGGTCTGCGTAGCACATTTTCGAAAAGTTTATTATATGTGCGACTTAAATGATTCTATCCAAGAATCTTGCTCTCGGTGACGGACCCGAGCACTGAATTAGTTCTTGCTTGCTGCCAAGAGTGTTGGAAGTTGTGATGTTGCTGCTATATATACATTTTTAATGTAGAAATTGGTGTCCCATTGTGACATCTTGAATACTCTTCATCCATGAAAAAAAAAAAAAAAAAAAACTCTTAAATTGTTTGGTATTTATAAGGAAAAGTAGCCCTCCGGTTGCAAAATTTTTAGTTGCGACCATGTACGCGTGACTTGTATTCTTGGGTTTTTTTATTTTATTTTATTTTATTATTTTAAACTCAACAAACATTGGGATTTGGCAGGAAGAATACGAGTGCCATTGTTGCACAGCCTCTCGAGTTCAGTTTTTTTATGGTTCCAACTTGCCCTTGGGTTGTAAATTTAATGGAATCCATACAGCTGACGATCGATTTTTACATAACCGTAACGTAGACGGTTTTTCTATGCTAAAGGCAAAATAGAAATGCATTTAACATTCGAAAGGGAAAAAAGAAAATGTGCGAAAACTTCATTTCAGTAAAGCCAAAAAATAAATAATTTCAAGAACCATTTCAAAAGGTTTGAGCTCACTAACCCAGTTTCTATCCATTGTTTACACTTGAAAGACGATTACACTTTTTTTCTTTTTAAGTTGTAATAATCTCAAAAAAGATCAAAAGCACCAACACAAGTGATGTGAATTACTCAAGATTCAAGTTCGAACAAACTACGCCAAGGTAATAAGACAAGTGATGTGAATTATTCAAGATTCAAGTTCGAACAAACTACGCAAGGTAATAAGACACAGCAATATACGATTAAAGAACACAAGTGATGTGAATTATTCAAGATTCGACTTCGAATGGTTCTTTATTTTTTTTTTTTTCGCCATTCAACCCCTGTGATGGTTTCGTGTTTGATGTATCGAAAGGGGAACCAGCCTGTTCTTATGTACTTGCAAGCTTACTACTAAACCTGAGCATTGGAAGGCTTTTACTTCTAGCCATGCTTCCTTAACTATTATTATTGCTTCCTTAAATTGTTTGGTATTGACGATTTTATTTGTTTTTTATTTAGAGCTTCGAAAAAAAATATTATTTCCACTTTACAATGAAAAGATAAAGAAAACGGGAAAATAATTGAAGCTCTAAATGAAAATCACAATATAAGGTACACAAATTTTCTAAAAGTTGAGATTGCGCCACAAAAATGTGGGGCAAAATAAACAAAATCATTCAATCAAGCTTTTTACAGGAAACAACTTGATGCCAAAACTTCACATTACTCCGCAGAAAAAAAAAAAAAAAAAAAAAAAATTGTTTGTTTTTCTCGGGAGATTATCACTAAGAAGATTTCTAAGGTGACGTACATCTTCATGTGGGGGCTTCAAGCTGAAGCTGCTTTTTTGCAATAATTTTCGAGCCATTCCATGGTAACACTCTTTGGCCTCTCGAGTGGCAGCCCGAGAGCTCGATCCCATATAAGCTAAATCAACAAAAACAGATAGGGGAACCAAAATTAGCAACACGTTGAAAAGAAAAAAAGGAATTTCAGTAATAACTAACAAGAAAGATGATATAGAAAAACAAACCTGAGCACAAATGCCAATAGCCCTTGACACTCCAAATAGAACAGTGAAATATCTGACCACAATGAAAAAAAATCAATTAAGTCGGGTTCTCTTTATTTTTCCCTTTCAGTGTAATACAGAATTGGACAAGACATTGTGTGGTATATATATGGAAGGATTATTATCTTTTTCACCTTGCTTCGGTTAAACCGTAATAATTGAGCAGCACTCCACTGTGGGCATCTACATTGGGCCAGGGGTTTTTGACCTAAGGAAATCAGATACAGATGTGACTTCATCAAGATGCTGTTTGCAAAATAATTAAGCTAATCACTAAAAAAATATTGCAAAAGAATTCGATAACAAGCTACGAGTTCATCATTCTTCATGGGTACTCGGAAATTTCACAGTTATATATA